CACTAATCATCTACAAACTCAAAGCACCTGCACAGGTTCCCCAGGTGTCATTAAATTGCTTCAGTTTGGTTCAATTGTCTCAGTTCGGTTCAATATGGGAAGAATGCAGATATGACAACTGGCCAGAAGACATCATTGATACCTCCATAGGATGGGTAAGCCACAAAAGTTCATAGCTAAGGAGGCTGGCTGTCACAGAGTGCTGTGTCCAAGCATATCAATGGAAAGTCTAGTGGAAGGGCAAAAGAAGATGACCGTGGGCTTCAAAACAGAGAAGATTCAAGAATCTGCAGAGATCCAGAAAGAGTGGAAATTAAGGCGGAGGCACAACATACAGCCCCTTTCCAAAAAATTAGAATATCATGGAAAAGTTGTTTAATTTCCATAATTCCATTCAAAAAGTTAAACTTTCATAGATTATAGATTCAGGGCCCACAATTTAAACGATTTCAGGTATTTATTTGTTTATTTTTACATAATTTGGGCTTCCAGCTCAAAAAACCCACGAAAACAGGAATTCAAAAAATTAAAATACTGTGAAGAAATCAGCCCAAATTTTGCAGGGCATGAATGTTTTAAACTGAGTGTCACACACTAATCATCTACTAAACTCAAAGCACCTGCACAGGTTTCCCCAGGTGTCATTAAATTGCTTCAGTTTGGTTCAATTGTCTCAGTTCGGTTCAATATGGGGAAGACTGCAGACATGACAACTGGCCAGAAGACCATCATTGATACCCTCCATAGGATGGGTAAGCCACAAAAGTTCATAGCTAAGGAGGCTGGCTGTTCACAGAGTGCTGTGTCCAAGCATATCAATGGAAAGTCTAGTGGAAGGGCAAAAGAGATGACCGTGGGCTTCAGCGGATTATCAAACAGAGAAGATTCAAGAATCTGGCAGAGATCCAGAAAGAGTGGAATTAGGCGGGAGTCACAGCTTCAAAAACCACCACATTCAGACGCATCCGGGAGATGGGCTACAACTGTCGGGTTCCTCGGGTCAAGCCACTTCTGAACCTGAGCCAACGTAGGAAGCGTCTCAACTGGGCCAAGGAGAAGAAGGACTGGACCGTTGGCCAGCTGTCCAAGGTCCTCTTTTCCGATGAAAGTAAAGTGTGCCTTTCATTCGGGAATCAAGGTCCAAGGGTTTGGAGGAAGACGGGTGAGGAACAGAACCCAAGCTGCTTGAGGTCCAGTGTGAAATATCCACAGTCAGTCATGATTTGGGGTGCAATGTCCGGTGCAGGTGTTGGTAAACTCTGCTTTCTTAAATCCAAGGTCACCGCAACAGTCTACCAGAATGTTTTAGAGGACTTCATGATTCCTTCTGCTGAGGATCTGTATGGAGATGCAGATTTAATCTTCCAGCAGGACCTGGCCCCTGCCCATACCGCCAGAAGCACCAAAACCTGGTTTGATGCCCATGCCATCACAGTGCTTGACTGGCCAGCCAACTTGCCGGACCTAAACCCCATTGAGAATCTATGGGGTATTCTCAAGAGGAAAATGAGGGGCACCAGACCCAACAACAAAGAAGAGCTGACAGCAAGCATCAAGGAAATCTGGGCTTCCATAACTCCCAGGCAATGCCACAGGCTGATTGCCTCAATGCCACGTCGCATCGAGGCAGTGATTAAGGCAAAGGGATTCCCAACCAAGTATTGAAGATTGACATATCGTTTTGAAAGTATCATATTTTGATTGATTTGATGTGATCCTAATTTCTTTCTTTTTTTTCTGCAAAAACTGAGAAGTAAATGATGATTTCTTCACAGTATTCTAATTTTTTGAATTCCTGTTTTCGTGGGTTTTATGAGCTGGAAGCCCAAATTATGTAAAAATAAACAAATAAATACTTGAAATCGTTTAAATTGTGGGCCCTGAATCTATAATCTATGAAAGTTTAACTTTTTGAATGGAATTATGGAAATTAAACAACTTTTCCATGATATTCTAATTTTTTGGAAAGGGTCTGTGTATACATACATACATATATATACATATATATATACACACACACTGTGTGCACAATTATTAGGCAAGTGAGTATTTTGACCATATCATCATTTTTGTGCATATTTTCCAACTCCAAGATTTATAAACTTGAATGCTTATTGGATTTAAGCATATCAGGTGATATTTGTATAATGAGGGAGGATGTGGCCTAAAGAGATCAACACCCTATATCAAGGTGTGCATAATTATTAGGCAGGGTCTTTTCCTCCGACAAAATGGGCCGAAAAAGAGATTTAACTGACTCTGAAAGTTCAAAAATTGTAAAAAGCCTTTCAGAGGGATGCAGCACTCTTGAACTTGATATTGTTCAAGAGCTACAGCTACTGCCATCAGACGTTTTGTTGCAAATAGTCAATCAGGTTGCAAGATACCTCAGAAAAAAAGACGCAAATTAACTGCTAAAGATTTGAAAAGAATCGAACGTAAAGCTTCCAGGAACCCATTATCCTCCAGTGCCATCATATTCCAGAACAGTTTTTAGAAGACACTTTCTTCAAGCTGTGGTACAGGAAAAAGTCTGCATCTTTCAAGAAGGCCATGATTTTTATGCAGGACAATGCTCCATCACATGCATCCAAATACTCCACTGCGTGGCTAGCCAGCAAAGGCCTTAAAGATGAAAGAATGTTTGTCTAATCAGCAAATCAAGTACATGACAAATGGAGGTAAATCACACATTGATGAAATCCAACACTGTCACAAATCAGCACTGCTTTAGGCATGAAAGGAGAGCAGACGTACGTGCATGTGTGCGTGCGTGCGTGAGTGCGTGCGTGTATCTCTCTTACCTGGCTTTCAACAGAGCAGCTCCAGCATCATTCACAGCAGAGGTTCTATCTGTGAGAGCAGCTTCTAGATCCTTCCACTGGTCCGATTTCTCCTGAGGTGGAACCTGGATTTAAGAGGAGCTGTAATCAGTCTACTGTAAAACAGGTTAAATGTTTTAAACTTCCCCATCCACACACTCGCGTAACAAAGAGACACAAACATAAACTGAACAGAAACCAAAGCCATCACAGTCTCAACAGAAGAGTTCCTGTCACTGTTCACATCTCTATTGTCCTTTGTCCATTTTACCAAAACAATCAAAAATGATAAATCATCTGTGGTCATGATTAAAGTCTAAACCAACTACAGTTGTGTCTACATTTATACTTTTCAAAAGCTACAACTGTTTCTTTAGCTGCAACATTTTCTGCTAACTTGTCTTAACAAGGCCTCATTCTGCCACTGGATATAAAACAGTTGATTATACCTGCCTCTAATTTAGACTTAAGGTGAGAGAAATTTCATCAACTGTGGATAAAGGAAAAGTTAGAAAACCATATCCTATGAAAACCAGATCTCGTCAAGATGAGATCCTTTCAAAACTAGATCCTATTAAATACATAATTATCAGCAGTCTGGAACTAGAGACCATCTTGTGATGGGAACACAGCTACTGCCATGCCTGTCACCATGGTGAGGTTCTGACCTATGAGCACTCAGTAGTTATTACTACATTATTACCTGCATATTCAGTAGTGCTGAGGCATTTAGCAAGCAACTCCTCCTGCAGTTTTTGTGCTACAGAAACCGTTCAACTATCAAAACTTTTGGCTTTTTCAGAACATTCCGGGTATTACTTTTTTTTATTTTCATTTATAATTTTTAAAATGTTGAGCTTTTTCTGCTATTTTTTCCCCCTATTCAAAATATTATTATTATTTCAGCTATCTTCAAAAGTTTCTGATTTTTCACAGTTTTAGTTTTATGCTTTTTTCTGACAATTTTTGAGTTTATAATGGGTGTGTATTGCACAAAATGTTCAGGGCTAAAGTGGATGACATCATTGCTAGAGTGGAAGAAGCTCTAAACCTTGTCTGAAAAAATCTACCTTGTCCTCATGCCCACATATTTCAGTCTTTACACATCATTTCTTCCTAGGTTGTAGACAAATTTGTCCTCTTTCACAGAAAATGTCTATCTAAGCACAGAGACTAACAGAATTTGAACAGTAACACTCAAAGTGATGGAGTACCCTACAACTCTCCCATAGACTGCAATACAAATTCAGGAACTGATTTCCCAAGAATAGCAGAACTGACCCTTTTTTGTAACTCACTCCTGTTTCCACAATTTTGTCTCATATTCAGCCACATATTCTGTGCATGAAGGTCTTGTGCCGTTCACAATCTAATAATTGTTCTGATAGGAGTTACCGTTTTTTCATAAAGATCAGTTGTTTGAGAGGCTTTTTGAGCCAAAATCTCACTCAGCTCTGTGTCTTCCAGCTCTAAACAGCTGTGCAATATGGCTTGTTTAAGAGACTCTTTGATCTGTGATGTTTACAAACACAGACAGACAGAAAAAAGGAAGGAAGAAAGAAAGAAAGAAAGAAAGAAAGAAAGAAAGAAAGAAAGAAAGAAAGAAAGCTGTGTAGGATGCAGTTCATATTTCTGTTACTAATACAAATTATTTCTTCTTTCAAATTTTATGGCATTTTATTCCTACTTCCACCTTTGGCAGTAAATAATTTAGCTGTTACAACAGTTTCAACAACATGTTTCCTTTCTCACTTACTGCAGCAAATGGACTTCAGCTCCTCCAGGTTAAATTTTTTTCAAAGCACTGTACTGAAGTTAATATGAGCTGCTTTCTCAACTATTTTAGCATCGTGTCAAATCTCCTTCAGGTGTGACATTACAAGTTTTACTTGAACATTTCTTCTTTCTTACATTTTTTTCAGCCAATTTAAGCCACTTAGCCTTAAACTAACAAGTTTTTCTGTTTTTTACATGTTGTATATTTTGTACAGCTGTTTGTTACACTTCAAGCAACAATTCAGGCCTTTTTCAAACATTTCAGAACATTCAACCTCCAGCTTACAAGGTCTGCTTTTAATCTTCAGCCACTGCTTCAGCTACTTCAGCATTGCTTCAGCTTCTTTATCATTGCTTGAGCAGTTGCTTCAGCTACTTCAGCATTGCTTCAGCAATATCATTCAGCTCTCAGCATTCACATGCATTTTAAGCAAGAAAAGCATTTTCTAGTTCCTCAAATTCTTTTTCTTAGTCCAGTTTTTTGGCATCTAACTACTCCTTCATACTTTGTGCTACAAAAACCGTTCAAATACCAAAACATGCTGTAGCATAGAGGAATGAAATAGTTATTTAAACTATTGGGCGCCAGACAGGAGAATAGAGACTTTTTCCCTTCCCTCGGCTCACAGGTGTGTCTCATTTATCTCCTCTCCTACTCCTCTTCCCTTTCTTTTCCTTCTGGGAGGTAAATGGCTATGCTGCTCTTTGTTTTTTTCATGCTCTTTCTGCCACACTGCAGCTTCTTCAGGAGTAGGATGCTATTATTTTTCTTATTAGTACTATTTATAATCTTTGAAATATTAAGCATTTTATGACAATTTTTTGCCATTCAGATGAACTGAGACGATGTTCAAATCCTTGAAAACTTCAGCCTCTTTGAACTTCAGCTACTTCAGCATACTTTAAGCTACAGCCTTCAATCAAACTTTACACTGTTCACAAGACTTTCAGCTATTAAACTTGTATTTAACTTTTTGATATCTTCAAGAGTTTCTGATTCATCCCAGTTTTAGTTTTATGCTTTTTTTCTGACAATTTTTGAGTTTAAATTGGTGTGTATTGCGCGGAATGTTTGGGGCAAGAGCGAAGACATCATTGCTAGAGTGGGAGAAGAGCTCCTGAAAAAATCTGTATAACTCGTCATAACAGCCACATATTTCAGTCTTCACACATCATTGCTTTCTAGTTAGTTGACAAATTTGTCCTGTTTCACAGAATCTGTCTACATTACATCCTCAACAGTGATTAACTGAATCAACAACTGTCTAAAACTATTTTAATAATAAATTGCCAACTGAGTGTATCTTAGTAATTATCAAGTGCATGCCCAGGCTCAAAAATGCCTATCTGCAATCAATTGGTTGATTTCGTTATTGTTCTCACCTAGGAACTGATATGTCTGGTAACCTAAAGATATTCTTTGATTTAATAGCTTTATCATTTATTATTATTACTAATTCATGAGACTGTTGCGAGAGTACAGACCCAGCACCCTAATGCATTCATTGCAATATCGGGGGAATTTTAACCATGTCACTCTCACCTCTCACCTGACTGGCTTCACTCAGTATGTTGACTGTCCCACAAGGGAAAATAAGGCACTGGATCAGTTGTATGCAAATGTCAAGGAAGCCTACCCTGCTTCAGCTCTACCACCACTTGGCAGATCAGATCATAATCTGGTTTTTCTTCAGCCTTCTTACAAGCCCTGTGTACTGAGGCAGGCTGCAACCACCCACTCATTCAGGAACTGGACCCCGGAGGCCAGTAAGTGTCTAAAAGACTGTTTTGAGTGCACAGATTGGAATGATTGGAATGTCCTGTTGGAGTCACAGGAAAATGATAAAAGCAAGGACCCTGACCTTGATAGAATGGTTGAATGTAACACGGACTACATTAACTTCTGCAGGGACACTGTAATACCAGCAAGAACTGTACACTGCTTTCCAAACAACAAACCCTGGATCACCAATAACAAGACCCTCCTCAACCAGAAAAAGGAGGCCTTCAGGGATGGAGACAGGGAGAAGCTCAGGTGTGTGCAACACACACACACACACACACACACACACACACACACGCACACACACACACACACACACACACACACACACAACTGTTGGGATCCATCATCTTCAGAGACCAAATGTTCTTTTGCTCCACTGGACAAAGGAACTCACACTCCACAGTTCCTCACCGGTTCACACCTGGGATGATCCCCCCCACGGACCTTACGTGGCCAGCCAGTGTGGTCAGCATGTGACATGTGACCCCCAAGGGGTCACCAAAACAAAAACCAGAAGTCTCTGGCCCTCTTCTCTCTCTCTTCTCTTCTTGGCTTGCTCTGGAGACAGCTCCAGCTCTCTCCTCTCTGCTCTTCAAAGGGCAACAAGGCCCCAGCCCAGGTCAGCTCTGCTACCTGAGAAACCAGCTCTATCGCCGGCCTGCTCACAGCAGCCTGCAAACACTCTTTCTCCTCAACAGCAGCGACCTGCTTTGGATTAACTGAGAGTGAACCAAATTCTCTTCAGAATCAGCAGCTCCGACACAAGGCCAGCTGATTTTCCAAGCAACAGGAGTCATAGCAGAGTTAGTTGGGAACAGCTAACTCTGTGAGGAGAACAAAGGAGATAACAGCAAAGCAACACAGCCAGACAGGACTTTACTCCACCAGAAAAAGCCTCCCAACTCACTGGACTTTACACCAACACTGGAAAGGACCTCTTTGTTTGTTCCAAGGACTGGGTAACGTTAACTGACTGGGCCTAACCTTTCCCAGCACAGCATAGCACAGCACAGCATAGCTAAGCAGCAGAAGTTTTAACTTTGTTAATGTACTTGTTGATTGATGTCTTGTTGTTGTAATGTTTGCTTAGGTTGTGGTCAGTCATACAGTTAATCAGGTACTCGTATGTTCACACACATAGTAGTACGTCTCAGTTCTAGAAACTGCATGAAGCTAACCACCTCCCTCTAACCCGGTACCTTTAGATTACATGAGCTAGGCTAACAAAGAAACTCACACCTTCCCTCTCACACACACCAGGTGGTCTCAGCGGCCATTTTGAGTAGTTTCTTTGTTTACCGCCATCTTGTGTAGTCTTCTTTGTTCAGGTCATGTGGTCACAGTGACCACTGTGAATCGGCCATCTTGCCTTTGTTTGTGTCCCCACAAACACACACACATACCCCTACACACACACACACTTGTATATACTAGATTAGACATTGTGTTTTACTCTGCTCCATTGTAAATAAATGCCTCTAAGTATAACTACTGGTGTGTTTAATGTTGCACAACCGTGAATATTGCCAACCTCTACTTGGTAGAATTCCAATCCTTCAACTTTAACTTACTGTTGATATGGTAATTTGGTTATAGTTAGTAAGCTAATGGTTAATCAGAGTTCCAGATTAATGGTAATAAATTGAGACCAAAACCATATTGGCTATCTTGCCTATTAGTTTAGGCTGGTGCCCCGAGGACTTTAATTCATTTTAAAGTTATTTAACATTAATATTTTTAATATTAATATTTTTCTTAATTTATGATAGCCAATAAATTGATAGACAACCGAAATCCAACATATTTGGTGTCCAGCTCATGAGGTAGAGCTCAGACCCAACACACACACACCCATATATATATTGACAGAAACACACAAACAGCATCTCAACAAATTGGATTGACCTTCAAAATAAAAGTCTCAACATGGTAAGAGGGAATTACACTTTCAAAATGTCTCAAAAAGGTAAGAGGTAAGGGGCGTCGAGTGGCACAGTGGGTTGAGCAGGCTACAGTCTTCGCTCCAGTCAGCCCCGGTTCGAATCCCGCATCGGACGGCCCTTTACTGCATGTCATTCCCCCTCTCTATGCCTTCCCATTTCCTGTCTCTCTCTACTGTGCTATCATAAAGGCATAAAAAGCCCAAAAAAATATAATTTAAAAAAAGGTAAGCGGTAAGGTAGGTAATAAAAGTTTGATCTTAGAAGCTATCGTCTATATGGGGATATAGTGGTATAGCTTTATTGCAGATCAACTTCTGTTAGGGCATGTACATGTGTGCATACATGTCTTGCTATGGTTGTGGGGACAAATTTGGGTTTGAAATCATCAGTGTGCAGTTATTTTGGCCAGTTGCGACAGCTTCAAAAGGCTTTTTGAGGGACACCTGCAGTGACTGAGGTCATTGTCAGGATAAGACATGAATGAAACTGAAAGTAACGTCCTTTGTACAGATTGAAACGAGAGGAGTGAAGTACACGCACCAAGCAGCAGGCACATTTTAAATTTCTCCAGGAATTTTCTAGTTTATTATTATTATCACCCTATAACATGTTTTACCCCTCCCTCCCCATTTTAAAATTAAACACAGTTTACTCAGAAACATTTTAACTGACTTACTTTTTAGTTGCTGTTTTCTTCATCACAGTGTCTAACTACCTGCTGTACATTTAAACTTATGCTTGTCATGCTCCAGCACTAGTTACTTTAGCATAGCAGTTAGCACTAGCTTCTGTCTCTCGCCATCTCTCTCTCTCTCACTCGGTGCGGTGTTGTTGTAACTTCAGGGTAGAAGATTGTGATGTCTACAGTGATGTCTGCTGTCTTTAGGCACACAGTCTTGCAACTAACCAGAGCTGCTCTTGTCAATCCCCATTTGTGTGCACAGCAGACTTCAGCATGATAGTCTATTACTCGTGATGTGTAACCAATCAGACAGTGATGCGGGCAGGACATTTTAGGAGTTTACTGTCAGATCTCCTGACTCGTTCTGTACAAAATAGAATTGCTGAATTGTAAGTTCTGTCTCAAAACTATCTTGTTACATATCCTTGGGCATTTTTAAGTGGTTACGGAAACGAAACCTCTGGAGCTTTCTTAGTGGACATACGGCGTACACCTGCATATCACATCAACTACACCACTGGTTGTGAAGTTGTTTGAGTGTGTGTGTATCTTCATGTCTTTCTATGATCGTGATTATAAGTTCGATTAGAAGCCATTATTGTGAGGTCATATTGGCCAGTCCAGGCAAGTTCAAAGGGCTTTTAGAAGGTTACACTCACTTATACTGAGTCCTGCAAACTGTTCTCAGGTCAGATTGGACTGTATTTACAAAACTTAAAAACCACAGAAGTGAGACAAATTTCTGTCTAGTGTAACTGTTAAAAGATTAAACTTTCTGCTGTTAAGGATGCAGTTTATCGTTCTTTTACTAATGAAAATGATTTCTTCTTTCACAGTTTTAAGGCGTTTTACTCCTACTTTCACTTTTGACAGTAAATGATTTGGCTTTCAACTGTTTCAACAACATGATCCAGTTAGCTTTTGCATTTCATCATTTTGGCATGTCACTTTGTTTCTGTTCTGCTTTTTCAACTATTTTAGCATTGGGTCAGAAATCTCCCTCATGCGTGACATTACAAGTTTTGCTAGTACATTTCTTCTTTCTCAGGTTTTTTTTTAAGCCATTTTAGACCATTTAGCTTTTAACTTACATGTTTTTCTGGTTTGTACATTTTTGTACAGTTTTATTTCATTTGTTACACCTTCCATCAACAATTCAGGCATTTTTCAACCATTTCATCTGATTCAACCTCCAGCATACAAATTCAGCAATTGCTTTAGCTACTTATGTATTGCTTCAGCAATTACTTAAGCTTCTGCTTACCGACTTACTCATCCTCCGTATCGAAATTTCAGCGTGTAATTATTCCCACAGCTTTGAGAAAACCCAAAAAATATTTATATCAATATGTGATGCTCGAATGGGAATTATGTGCTATGACTTTTCTTAGCTTTCCAACTTTTCTGTTGGGCAGCTCTACCACTACACACACACACACACACACACACACACACACACACACACACACACACACACATATACATATTGAAACGTGAGAAGTGAAGTACACGCACCAAGCAGCAAGCACAAATTTCTCCGGCTGCGATTATATATGAAAGGTGCTATACACACAGTTTATCATTATTATTGTTATCACTATTGCATGAGTACTCAGTAGTTATTACTGCATGAGTACTCGGTAGTTACTGCTACATTATTACAAACAACACAAGACCTGCAGTCATGGCTGCTGAAAACAATTCAGATGTGTTGGTGGATAAGGTGCATTGTAAGACTGAACTTTGAAGTGCTCGTAAAAAGACTAGCAGTTTAATCTTTATCTCTGTTATCATGGTGGACAGTCAACAGTGGTAATGATGGCACAGGGATTAATGTGTGGTATTTGGAGTCACCTCTTGGCTCTAACACTGAGACACAGCAGTACCTGTAGCAGCATTAATGAATGAATCCATGAGTCATACAGTTGACCTCTGCTCTGTACCTCTGCTTCCATGGCCTCCTTCAGCTTGTGTGTGTGTCGTGTGATGGCCTGCAGCGCTGCCTCCTGAGCTCCAATTGCATGCAGGGTCGCTTTTGCTGAGCTGGACAGAGAGTCTTCAAGACTGGCTGTTACAGCTGCAAGACAGACAGAGAGACAGAGAGACCGACAGACAGACAGGCAGTCAGAGAGACGGGCAAAGAGAGTGAGAGAAAGAGACAGAGAAAGAGAGAGACAGATAGGCAGAGAGACAGGGAGAGAGACAAGACAGGCAGAGAGAGGAGAGAGAGTCAAAGACATTCAGAGAGGAAGACAGTCAGGGAGAGAAAGAGAGAGAGACAGACAGAGGGAGGGAGACAGAGAGAGGGAGAGACAGAAAGACAAACAGAGACAGTCAGGGAGAGAGAGAGAATTCCAAAAGAGAGACCAGGCATGTACTACATGAGCTCTTAGATTTGCATGTTTTTTTTGTCATTTTGAATTGAGAAGAACAAAGTCATATTTGGACAACATAAAAATAAGATCAAGAACAACAAGAAAGTCAAACTAGACAAGTGGAGAAGCAAGAGAAAACAAGAACATTTCTCCAAAGAAAGTGTGACAAGAGCTAGCAGGAGTTAGCAGAAGCTTGTTGATGCAATAGGGGAAAACAGGAAACAGGAGTCAACAAACAACAACAACAACAGGAATCAGCAAAGTACATACTCAAAAGAGAGTGAGTATAGGCCTGGAGTGTTAAAAAGCTGAAATTATAATAGTTTTAGTACCAAGAAAAACTCAGATAAGCAACTTGAGCAAAGGTCAAACAGTGACATTTGGAACCCCAAAACGGCAGTTGGAATCAGTTGCAGCTAACTGTGGCAGTTGGATGTGAGCAGTGGAGGCTAACAGAAGCAGTTGGAAAATAGGCATTTTGATTTTGATTCAAACTTGACCAATGAGCCATTCAGAACAGCAGCTAACCCTCCCTCACTCCCGCAGAGTATGAGTGACAACGTTAATATAGACTACCCAGCAGACAAGGCCCAATCCCATTTCTCATATTTACACCTTCCCCTTTCCCGTTGGAACTGAGTTACAAGGGGTAGCGATTGATATCTATCCCTATTAAATGGGACACCCTTTTAAAGAACGTGATACATCATCAGTAGTCTATGATGACTTTTACGTAAGCAGATGCAAAGTGTTTTTGCCAGAGATTCAACATGCCGTCAAAATGTGAAAATCACAGATAAACGTGATACTTTCACAACTTCCATTTCATGCATCAATTGATCAATTGAAAAAGAAAAACAATTACACTGCTATATTGCCAGGCTATTGTTAAGTGATGCTCTGTAGGCAGCCATGACAGTCTGCATTGATATGGGAGCGGTAAAGTTCAGCAAAGTCTGTGCTGGACATCAGTTAAATTTAGTCCGTCATATGCCATCAAATGGGGTTAGGTTAGGGTTAGCATTAAAATATTAGAGAAAAGAGCAAGAGAACACACAGATAACCCATGAAATACAATTAATCAGAGACAGAAAGCCACAAGGAAGACCTCTTCACTCTGAGAGAACAAGTGAGTGAGCTACAACAAGAGAAAGCCAGAGGAGAGAGCTTGCTCTACTATCTAATATTCTACTATCAGAACAGGTTAAATTCATTGTATTGCTTCAAGACACACTACACAACACAACCTCGTTGATACACACGTTAGAACGATCAGATTCCATGTGATCGACAAAATTCTTAATGATCAATTATTGATCATCGATTAATCATGCCCACCGCTAATCTATAGACCTAACCTAACCTGTAGAAAACCTACAAAGAATCAAGTTCAAGAGAAGATCTCAGAAAAACTGATAAAGAATAACCAGACCCCACTGGATTATCCCATCACAGAATCAGAACTGGAAGACAAACTGAAGGTTCTGCAGCCCAGAAAAGCATATGGGCTTGATAGCATCTTAAATAAGATGTTAAAGTGAGAGTGAAGGGCTGATCACACCCATCTTCAAAAATGGAGACAAATCTGATCCCAATAATTACAGATGCATCTGCGTAAATAGTAATCTGTGAAAATATTTTAAATTCAAGAATTACAGACTTCCTCATCGAGCACAGAGCCTTAAGTAGGGATGGGTATCGTTAAGATTTTAACGGTAGTACTCCTCTTACCGATACTGCTTATCGATCTGGTACTTTAATGGTACTCTTATCCATACTTTTTGAGGAAGAAAAAAAACTTAACAAAACAAAACATTTCTCACACGTTTGTGACAACGGGCTGTGTCTGCATCAACTCTAGTAAAGTAGAGCCACACTTTGGACCACACAAACAGCAGGCAGGCAAAATGAGAGAGACAGATCTCTTGTCTTCTGTGAGAATAGCAAAAATATGTCATACATAGACAGATATTTGACGGAGTTGGTGAAATAAATGTGCCAGATAACGTTTATCTAGCGGAGAAAAAAAAAACTAAAAAACAAGTACTGATAGCAGAACCGTTAAGGTCGTAGCTTATTTGATACCGTGGCCTTGAATAAAGGAACCCCCGGGGTCCGTTCAATACCAGGGCTCGGTACCCATCCCTACTCTTAAGTCCCTCCAATCTGACAACATTTTCACCCTACATACACTGATTGATAAATATGTAAATCAAAATAAAGGCAGAATTCATGCATTCTTTGTTGATTTACAAAAGGCTTTTGATTCAGTCTGGCATGAGAGATTACCTTTTAAACTAATAGAAAGTAATATAGGGGTATAGTCTTTTGATGTAATTAAATCAATTTATGAAAATAACAAATTGTCTGTTGAAATTGGAGATAAATGCACAGACTTCTTCCCACAGGGTAGAGGGGTGAAGCAAGGCTGCAATGTCAGCTCCAACCTCTTCAGTATTTATATTAATGAACTGGCATTGTTATTAGAGCAATCACAAGCACCAGGTCTCACACTTCAAGACACAGAAATCAAGTGTCTGTTTTATGCACATGACCTGGTCATACTCTCTCCTATTAATGAATGTCTTCAGCAGAATCTGGACTTTCTTCATCAGTACCGTCAGACCTGGGCCTTGACAAACAACACCAAAATTATCACCTTCCAGAAAAGATCAGGGTTGCAAAGAAATTACATTTAAACATTTAAAATAGGAGGGACCCAAATAGAACAAACAAATACCTACACCTACCTAGGTTTACAGATTAGCTCCACAGGAAACTTCTGCTCTGCTGTGAAGGAACTCAAAGGAAAGGCAAAAAGGCTTTCTATGCCATCGAGTGCTCAGTTCAAATCCAAATTCTAATAAGTGAACTGATTGCATCGTGTGGCAATGACATATGGGGGCCCTTACTACAAAATGAAAATGAAAAATGGGACAAAAATCCAATTGAAGGGGCGTCGAGTGGCACAGTGGGTTGAGCAGGCGCCCCATATGTAGAGGCTACAGTCCTCGCTGCAGTCGGCCCCGGTTCGAATTCCGCATCGGATGGCCCTTTACTGCATGTCATTCCCCCTCTCTCTGCCTCCCCATTTCCTGTCTCTCTCTACTGTGCTATCCAATAAAGGCATAAAAAAAACCAAAAAAAAAAAAAAATCCAATTGAAATCTCGCATACAGAGTTCTGCAAAAGTATTCTCCAGGTAGACAGAAAAAGCCCAAACTCTGCTTGCAGGGCTGAATTATGTCAAAACCCATTGCTTCTGAGTATTCAGAGTAGAGCTCTCAAATTCTGGAGCCTAATTAAAAAGAGTAACACTGCCTCTTACCATTAAAACACTCTCGCCTGCCAAGAGTTGGACATAGAAAGGAGTCCCCTCAGCAAACTGGTCCTGAGGCTGGCTTACCTTTCACCTTCTGACATCACAAACTGCAGCCAGCACCAGAGCAGTTACACTGTCAGAGATTAGATCCAACCAAATTATAACTAAAGACAAAGAAAAGCTACTGGAACGATATTACACCCTCAACAACACAAACTAGAAACATATTTGGCTCCACACAGACAGTAGACTGTCGCAGACTACCTGACCACAGTAGCTGATAAGAACCTGAGAAAAATACTAACAATGTAAAGACTGAGTGAGCACAGTTTGGCAATAGAGGAGGGCAGACACAGGCAGACCTGGCTGCCCAGAGAGAACAGGCTGCGCTGTCACTCTGATCACAGAGCTATAGAGACAGAACTACTTTTCCTGACAGCAAATACACAAACATCAGGGAGGAATTCTTCACAAAATTTGAACAGAAATGCCCTGTATTTAAGTATTTAACAGACAGGGAGAAATTACCCATCATTCTGGGGGAAAAGAGAGAATGTGGTGTATTGGCTGCTACACATTGAAAATTTCATGCCAATAAAGCCTGTTGAATTGAATTGAATTGAATTGACAGACAGTCAGACCGATAGAGAGAGACAGACAGACAGACAAAACAGACAGACAGTCAGAGAGAGACAGTCAGACAGAGAGAGAGAGAGAGAGAGAGAGAGAGAGAGAGAGACAGAGGTGTATGTGTGTGTGTGTGTGTGTCGTTTCCAGCCTACCTGCCATGACGTCCTGCTCCTCCTGGTCTTGTTGAGCCAGTCTAGCTGTCACCTCTTCTACTGGACGCTCTCTCAGTGGTTCTGCTGCTGCAGCTGACTCAGTGTCAGGGTGAACTGCTGCTGACAGTGAGGTGTCCTGATGGTCATGACACTCTTTGCACTCCTCTGAAGAAAACACACACACAGACACAATGAAGCCTGTCAGTCACTAAACATCACACACCGGCGGTATTCAAAGTGTGAAGCACCTACCGGGGGGNGGGTGAACTGCTGCTGACAGTGAGGTGTCCTGATGGTCATGACACTCTTTGCACTCCTCTGAAGAAAACACACACACAGACACAATGAAGCCTGTCAGTCACTAAACATCACACACCGGCGGTATTCAAAGTGTGAAGCACCTAGGGGGGGGGGGGGGGGGGGGGGGGGGGGGGGGGTGCCAGAGAACTTCAGGGGAGGTGTAGCGTGAGAAAAAATAAACTAGAAATTAATAATAATAATCATAATAATAATCCTTGCAAAGACAATAGGTTCCTTGCACCTCCAGTGCCAGGGATCACTGGGCCCTGGCACACTCAGTGCTCCGGCCCTAATAAACAGTACAGTTTCAAAAGGGTCATGGCACCGGTCGGTGCTCGGGGAAAAGTTTGGGGCAGTGTGCACAATGTGTGTTGGAATGGGAACAAGTTCATTTTTCATGGTGAAGAATAGAAATTCGCCACGACACCATGGGCGGGTCCTCCAACAAAAACTGAAAAGCTTCGCAATTTAACATCACAAAGGTCTTAAGATGAGGCTGACCACAGATCATGTCAATCTGATGAAGTCGGAGTTCGTTTAAGTACCCCAAATCGCAAAAACAGCGTAAAAATTGCAAATTGAATTCAAAATGGCAGACGTCCTGTTGGGTTTAGGGTATGGGTGCAAGAGGCTTTTCTGTAATTCTTGGCATGTTACATGTGCCTACCGATTTTCATACATGTAGGTGAAACACAGAGCGGGGTCTCAATTTTTTGAAATTACATGGTGGCGCTATTGAGCCATCTTGCCACACCCATGGGCGAGACCTATAAAATATGTAAATTGTCAGTTTTTGCGCATGGGAAAGGCCTCAAAAAGACGATTTATCTTCCGGTCGCAATAATAATAATCACTGCAGTTGCAATAGGTTGCAATAATTTGGTGCGTTCAGGCCCTAATTAAAGCTACAAGCAGTGTTGGTTGGGCGCTTGCACTCCGGCGCACCTCGAGAAGGCACACAGCACGCTGGTTAAAACAGCCGCGCATCCTGGCGGCTGCTGGACACCATACCCAGGGGTTAAGATTTCTTTCACAGACCATGTGGCAGCAGAGAAAATGTACTGCATTTTTATATGCATTCTTAATTTTGTCCATTGTGTGAAGACAGAGACCAAACAACAAGTACACATTATGTGTCTGTATGTCACATGCAGAGCAGACATTGAAAATGTCATGTAAATAGAAAGATGAATTGCCACTCAAGAATTACTTTTTGTTTTCAAAAGATAGTGCTGTGACTATGACTTCATATTTGTTTGCAGATGTCTTCAGTGTGAGACTGTCATCATATATGAAAATTGGGCAAGATTGGACAATATACAACATAGTTAATGCTGAAGATATTGTATGTTTGTTTGAATTCTCAATTTTTTCCAACAGGTGGAGCCAGAGACCATGGAATAAGCCCACATGTGACTGAGTATCAGAGAACACAATGAAACACACAGAAATTCATCATTTTCCTGAACCCCCGCCATTTAATGGTAACTCAGAATTTTCACAGGGAAGCATCATCTAGGCATAAAGCTTACATTTGGAGAAGACTGGACAAAGTATAATGGAGTTACAACCACTTCCTGTTTCAAATTAAACAGCTTCGTTGAGGCCATGCCCTTAACTGAAAAGTCTTAATTTTTGCAATGTACCATCATCAAGGGGAGAAATCTTTTCTAACCAGGATTGAGGAGGGTCTGGACAGCTTGCTAGGAGTAGTACATGAAATTGTAAAATATTATATTTCATATTGCCCTTAGGTGGCGCAATGAATATTACTGATATTGATTCTTTTCAATTGCAGTCAACCACACCCAAGCAATATCATTTGTAGTCAATTACACCTCAACATTTAATACAAAATTCTTTGATTGCTTTAGAATCTGTTTATTTACTTTAACCTTACACATTGTTATATTAATTTAGTAATTATTCATTACTCTTATAAACACAAAAAGTTTGAGGCAGTTTGGACAATGTATACTGGAGTTATAGCTAATTGATTTCTCATGGTGAATCATCGAAATTCACCATGCTGCTACGGCTTGCAGTAGGCCGGTTAAAGCAGCCATGCATTGTAATGACCAGCGGACACTGCTGTCAAAGGTTAAGATTTCTTGCTTGATCTGACAACATGTTTTGCATGTTTCCTCGCATAATAAATCGCGTCCACTGTGTGAAGCCAAAGAACATGCAACACGCACACATTATGTTCCCGTATTTCAATTATAGAGCTGACAATGAAAATGTCATGTAAATCAAATGATGATTGTCACTCAAGGGGCACTTCCTGTTTTCAGTGGGTGGCGCTGTGAGTATGACTTCATATTAGCATGCAGATGTCTTCAGTGTGAGACTATCACCAAATGTGAAATTTGGGGCAGATTGAAGAATGGATACTTGAGTTACAACAACTTCCTGTTTCATTGCAAAGTTACGCCACAGTTAGGCCATTCAAGCAAAAGTCACATTTTTCACACTCACACAACATCAATGTCTTCAGCATATTCTGGCCAACTTTGTGTGTTCAACCTGCCAGGAAAAGTACATAAAATTGTAAAACATGGCATTTCCTGTTACCACAAGAGAGCGCTATGACTATTAATGAAAATGGGCGTGTAGATGTGTTCAGGCCGGACAACACACAATGTTTGGGTTAGTTTGGGGAATGTGTGCTTGATTTACAGTGAGTTGATTTTTTCATGGCAAAGCATAGAAATTTGCCCTGCCATCAGGGGCAGGTCTTAAAAAGCTATGCAATTTAGCATTGCACAAGTCTAAAGTTGATATTAAACAACTTGATACAACAAACAACAATGATATTGGAATTGGAGATTTTGTCATGGACATATCGCCCCTTCCTGGTTCATATTCACCTTGCCGCCAAAGCCAAGCCCTTGAATGAAAAATCACAATTTTCACAATAAAGCATCATCAGAATCTGCCAAGTATTTTATGCCCCCAGTTGAAGAGGACCAGGTCACGGTCATGGAGTAGGAAGGGCCCCTTTTTTAAATTTCTAGGTGTCGCTTTGGAGGCATTTTGCCACACCAATGTGCACTACCCATAGAATACGTAAAGTTTAACCAGGCCTGATGCCTGTGCAAATTTTCATGAGTGTTTGAGCATGTTTAGGCCTTCAAAAAGGCAATTTATTTAGCGGTGCGGAAGAATAATAAACAGCGCAATTCCAATAGGGTCCTTGCACCCCTTGGGTGCTCGGGCCCTAAATATGTCTAACATTGTGATCTGTGCAATTACTTTTTTGTGGAGCTGTGTGCACCACACTGATTCACTCGGCCCTTTCTTTCACATAATAAGGAGGCAAAATCAGTTTTTTGCTGAGAGCATATCTCAGCTCACTTTCCCACACTTTGAAAACCCCTCCCTTACACCAGTCCTGTCACATGACAAATACAGTCATCACTGGTTCTGTTTCTTGAGCCACTTAGAGTATGGTGCTCTACATGGAGACTGTGTTGTTAGGACTGTTATCCTAAAACCCTGTAAATGTGTATTCAGATTTAGGATTGTTCCCAGTAGCCTACTGGTTTAGATGAGCACCATAGATCTATATATAGACACAAAATGAATCACTTAACAGATCAGAGATGTGAGCAGCAGTTCCATAGTCTAGAACAGGGGTGTTTTTTTAGTGAGGGCCAAATACAGAAAAATAAACAAAGGGCCGGGCCACACACTAGAGGTGACATATTGACACATGAATACTGTGTGTATTTCTAACTCACCTATAATGTGAAGAACATTGCACTCAGTGGGAGCAGTGATGCTGTCCTTTGGATTGAAGGATGGCTGACATGTCAGGAGAAAGTTTGGTGGTTGAGACACGAAGGACTTCACAGAGATGGCTATCAGTCATTCTGGTTCTCAGTCTGCTTTTATTCTGATTTAACAGAGAAAATGTTTGTTCACATATGTATGTTGAGCCGAACAGGCTCATCATTCTTTTTGCGTGGCGTCTCATCAGAGGAAACTTGGCATTATCCAAACTCTGATAGAAGTCAGGGAGGGAGAGAAGCTCATGTTGACTCTTCAGAGAATCATCACATTGCATTTCAATCAGTTCTAACTGCAGACTCTCTTCCACTTCTTCTGCATCCACCAGGAAGGGGGTCGAGAACAGCTTGATTTGTTTTTCAATGACAGAAAAATCTTGGAAACGCTGGTTGAATTCTGTCACGAGAGATGCAATCACAGACACATATTTCTCCTTTTTAGCAGAAAAGTCGGCCTTTGGAAAAGCAGACTTGATTTCAGACAGCGCAGGGAAGTGTGCAGCATTAAAGCTTCGTAGTTGTGTGTCAAACAGGCGGAGCTTTACACAGAAGGCTTTCATGCGCGCATACAGGTGTGGCACCAGCTGTTCTTTGCCTTGTAGGTTCTTGTTCAGTGTATTCAGATGATGAGTAAGATCAACTAAAAATGCCAGGTCTGCCAGCCACAGAGGATCACTCAGTTCATGAAGAGGTCGGCCCTTCTCTTTCAAAAACTGGTCGATTTCTGACCTCAGCGAATAAAACCGCTGCAGCACAGAGCCGCGGCTGAGCCAGCGCACATCAGAGTGGTAGAGTACATCCCCGTATTCAGCATCCACATCAGATAGGAAAGCTTGAAATTCTCTGTGGTACAGTCCTCTACCTCGAATTATGTTGACAGTTTTTACAACAGTGTTCATCACATCGCCCAGCTGGACAGTCTTGGCACACAGTGCTTCTTGGTGGATTATACAGTGCATCCTAACAGCCTCACCTCTGCTCTCTTTTACCTTGGCGCACACCATCGATGCCATTCCTTTGCGCTCGCCCGTCATGGCCGGAGCTCCATCCGTTGTTACTCCACAGAGCTTGTCC